CCGGCTCAACAAGGGATTTTAACTAGTCCACTGTGGGTCCCTCAGCCCTACCCAGCCCAGATGCAGTGGGCAGCCCTGGCTGTGATGCGTGTGGCCGGCCTTGCCACCCCTGGGTGCACAGCCGGGCTGGAGTGACGCAGTGGATGGACTCCACTTCCTGGTAGCCCCAGCAGCAGCAGATCCTTCTGGCTGCTGCTGCTAGTGTTGCCACCACTGCTGGACTTGCTCCTGCTGCCCAGGCACCCTGGCCCATCCACCCCACACCCACCAGATGGAGACTGGCTCGGGACCTGCATGGGCAGGGTGCACTCAGCTGGACAGAAGGGATGGTACTGCAGGTAGGCGGGGAGCGAGACAAGCTGGTGGGGCCAGGGCCAGGATTTTGGGTTGGTGACAGCACGGGGCTGGGGCCCAGGGCAGAGCCACGATCACTGCTCTATGCACATCCCTGCAGCAGGCGCCGATTTTGTGAGCAGGGGCATGCGGGGTGTGGGTCGCGGCTCTGCCCTGGCCCCAGCCCCTTGCTGTCACCATCCCAAGATCCCGGCCCCACTCAGCCATCCTGCTCCCAGATGCTTCTCCCCACCTGCCTGTGGCTTCATCCCATCCAAGCATGCCCTTCCTGCCAGGGTCCTGGGCTTGTCTTCATGGAACTGCTGGGGCAGAGATTGGCAGGCAGTGACAATGCAGGGGCAGAGTCATTTAGGGAGTTGGGAGGGTGCTGATCTGGCTCACAACGGCTTGCCACAACTCCGTAAGTCGTCCTCCAGCCCAAATAATTGTCCATCCCTGGCTTAGGCCATCTCCATGGGCTCAGTGCCCTCTCACACCAGTACAACATCACAGCAGATGGAGTTGCGTGGTGTGAAATGGTGTGGGTCAGAGCAAGCTGGCTGAGAAGCCCAGCATTCCCCATTGCCCACATCTCAAGGACGTCCCCCCAGACACCTGCCTGCTCCCTTTCACTTGGTGGGAGAGTGTCTGGAGGTGGGATGTCAAGTGCTGTGTTCTTATTTTTACCTGTGTTTTAAGAAGTTGTGGACATGAGGTCAGGTGCCCACAGGCAAGAAAAGCATGGCTCTTACATTACTGTGAGATTAAAGGATCGTGGACATAAGAGGTAAAGAACTGGTGTTAATGGGCTGGATGTGGCACTTATACCATAAGGAAATCCAGGACTTCCTAGGGTGACCGAGTCAACAGTGCTGCTGCAGGCAGTGACAGAGGCTGGAGGACAGGGGCGCGGGCACAGTCCGGCAGGGAGGTGCAGCTGCCTGGTGCATCGAGCCACTCCGTCTCCCCACCAGGCTGCGTCCCACATCCCTGCGATTCCAGGACTCGTGTTTTAATTTTCACCAACCGGCCAGGATTGGCCTTCGAAATCTGGGACTGTCCTGGCCAAACCGGGATGCATGGTCACCCTACTTACCACCCACCCTGAGCCTCTGGGCCAAGTCGCAGGGTGCTGCTGTTCTGATCAGCGGGTGTGCGTGTGTCTAGGGCTGGCTGCAGCGGGTGCAAGGGACTGAACCCACAGTTGATGACTGGTTTGTCGTATTTTCCTCACCCCTCCTTTGGCCACAGCTTTACTCTGCTACGTTAAGGGCAGAGGAGGAGGGAGGGGCAAGGAGTGGCTTATGTACTGGCTTTGTATAGGAGTTTTCCTGCGCTGGGCTGGCCATGCCCCTCATGCCTGTGTCTGCTAGTGTGGCCCTGTAGTACGATCCCATTGAACTGAGAAAGTCCAGCACTTGTGCTGTGCTCTCTACCCCCTCTGCCTCGGTCCTGTGTGCAGAGAGTAGAGGTTTGGGGGCTGCCTCCTGGATGATTTGAGTGAGTACCTGAAGGTTTTAGAAGAGAGAAGAAAGAATGGGAGGGGAGAGAAAGATAAAGAGGGAAGGGCAGAAGGTAGAAAAGAAGAAGGAGGATGAATATATCTGTGGGGAGCAGTGATGGAATAGCTTTGTGAGTCATGCTATAACTTACGTATGTGGCTTATAAAGAGGCAACCCAAGCTGTGGGAGCAGAGCGGGGTCCTGTGAAGCCCCCAGATGATACCTGAGGCTTGCAGAGCTCCGGGGGGGGGGCGCAGGGCCTGGCCTGAATTTAGGGAGGGCAGCGGGCTCCCTCCAGGAAGAAGCCGAGGTAGGAGGCACGTGACGGGTCTCTCTTCTGCCTCCCCCGCCCGGCAGGTTAGGCAGCCTGACACCTCTACAGCACATCCAGCGCTGCTGGTTTCCTAATTGTTGTTGTCGTTGCAGTTTTGTAAGGGCTGGGTGGAGCGCTGGATTCATCTCTTGTGCTTTACGTCAAAGCTGTGACTTGCCATGAGCCTGCACCCTCCCTCCAGGAAATGGAATTTCTCAGCCTGGCCAGACACAGGTTTTATAATTAAGCTGCGGCTCACACCTTCCAGGAGCCAGTCCCAGGGGTCTCTCCCACCCGCGGTCTCCAGTGGGGTGGAGGGAGGGGAGCACCGATCTCCCTCCTCTCTCTGTGCAATCATTCGGCCTCACTGTGTCCCCTTTCCTTTCTCCAAAGGCAGGAAACCCAAGAGTGACCTGAGGTTTTCAGCTTGGGGAGGAGGCTTGTGGACACTAATTCACCTAGGAGACTGCAGCTGGGACTGGGGGCTTGACTTGTCCGAGCTCTACAGGGTCACACAAGGGCTGTGGTTAGACCAGCCCAGTGTCTTTCAATGGGTTTATACAGCGCCGAGCATGTCCTGGTGGGGCCCCTTGGCAGGGACCCCAATAATAACAGCACGAGCAGGCAGGAGGAGTGGTGGTGACACAAGGATCGCTTGACTGGCTTGGGCCAGGGGTCCCCTTAGCTCCAGTCTTGTGTCCATGGGGCCAGTCCCCGCTGGTTCAGAGGAAGGTCGTGTACATACAGGACAGGCTGTTCCCAGACCCCAGCGAGCCGCTGGCCCGTTCCCTGAATCAGAAGGGTTCCCAGCTCTGCCAAACCCACGGTGCTGCCCTACTTCGGCGTGGTGGGGTCCTCTTTTGTGTGAACAGGAGCCCCACGCTGCGTGCACGTGGGGCGGGGGGGCACAGCACCTCCAAGGAAACTCTCCCATCTCTTTGGCAGTACGGGGCCTCAGTGTCACAGAGGAAAAGACCTCGCCCTTCTCTATTTGCTGCCAGTGGGTGAAATTCTGTGGCACCCCTGGATCCGGCTGGGTGCTGGCACCTGGCAGCTACCCTGTTGCCCTCTAAAATCCCTTCCCCATCGTGGCCCCACTGCCTGGTCACCCCTTATGCGCGGAGCCAACAGCCAGGATGTCCGGGTTCCCTCACCCGTGCATGCGAGCTCCTGCACACCCAGACGCACACACCAAGCCTCCCGCCCTCCCCACCCCCAAAAAAATCCCTGGCAGCTCCATCCCAGAGCCCGGCTCCCAACATGCATGTGCGTGCATGCATGTGTGTGTGTGTGCATGTGTTTGGGGAGCTGTGAAGCTGTGCGTGGACGGACGGCAGCCTTCCCCCATCATCCCTCCCCCCCCTCTTTGGCGAACTGCTCCAATTCTGTTCTCCTTATTTGGCCACACTGCTCCCAAAGAGGGGGGGGGCGGGGGGGGCGAGCAGGGAGAGGGGGGTGGGAAGCTGGAGAGACTGGGTGACATCACGGGGCTTGGGGAGAGACAGAAAAAAAGTTACTTAAAAAAAAAAAAGAATGGTGGAGCCCTTGAGCCAGCGGCTGCCGCAGTTCCTTTAAAAGGAGATGTCTGCAGCGGAGACCTTTGTTGTGCACTCCCAGCCTGTCCGGGAAGTGTCTCGCTAAAGGAGACACCTCTCTGTTCTCCGCTCCCCACCACCAGCGAGCAGCTGCCGCCAAACATGTTATTGCAAAACACGGGGCCTGCGCTGGGAGCCGGACAGGAAAGGGGGAGTGAGAGCAGAGCTGGGAGCAGCAGGCAGGGGGCTGTGGCCTGCCTGGCAAAACCTGTCCAGGGAGGGGAGCTTCCCCAAGGGGCCCCCAGGCAGGGTGCACCCTACCCACCACATCCAGGACCTGCGGGGGAGAGGAGGCGGGTCAGGCCTATTGAAAGAGATGTGTTTAACCAGACTCCCGAAGCAAGGCGAGGCTTGAGGTTTGCAAGGGATCAGGACTCACGGCCCCTGTTAAATTAACAGGAGTCGGGCACCTGAATCTCCTAGACCGCTCCTAAATTGCTGCCTGGCGTCACAAACCCTGCTCCTAGCCAAGGAGAGGAGTAAACCTCCCTGGAAGACCGGGAAATCCTGCCTTTGGACTCAAGAGTTTTCCCCCTGTCTCCCCAAGCCTTGCTGGCTAGGCTGGGATTTGCATGTCTCCTTCAGCAAAGGCTACTCTTGCAAGCAGACCATGTCTCTTGTATCGACGGCAGCTAGAAGAGGGGCCGCATTGCCAGGGCTGGAGGCTCCCAGGGGCTGGGCTGTGCTACATGAAATGGGGAAGGGTGGCATGGTTGTGTCTGGTGGCTGTACCATAACATATGGTGGCTGTGCAGAGGAGGGGATATTGGTATCTTGGGCCTGGAGGCTCCCAAGGACTGTGTTGTAATGGGGGAGAAGAGGACAAGGTCATGTCTCAGGATTGGGGGCCATGCTGTTATGTATTTACACACGTCTCAGCCCTGGCCCTGGCCTGCCATGAGACCTGCCCTTCTGTCTTTGATTGAGCCAACATCTTCCCCTCTGAAGAGCACCTGCATTGGTCCATTTTTGGATCCCCAAATAGACCCTGTTCTTCCCAGGGCTTGAGGATTAAAGTGTTCGTAAGGCCGAGTCTGGGTCTTCTGCATTCAAGCCCCCTTCACCCAATATTACCAGCTGATTTTCCATGGGCTCTGCCTCTTCTGCTAGGGACACTTGCTTTCCCCTGCCGTCACTTGGCAAGCAGGAGGCCACGTAGTCAGCTGCTTGTGATGGGGACTGCATGTCTGAAGGCCCAGAGGGAGAAGCCCCTGGCTGAGTTGTGACTGATCAATGACCTTTGCTTTCTTCTATCAGGTTGACAAGTTCCCATTTGGGGCTCAGGGTCGGAGCCCAGAGCAGCCATCACAATAGCGTCCAACAGCTGGAACGCCAGCGGCAGCCCCGGGGAGGGGCGGGAAGATGGACAGGAGGGAATGGACAAGAGCCTGGACAATGATGCCGAGGGGGTGTGGAGTCCGGACATCGAGCAGAGCTTCCAGGAGGCGCTGGCGATCTACCCGCCCTGCGGCCGGCGGAAAATCATCCTCTCGGACGAGGGCAAGATGTACGGTGAGTGAGACCTGGCCTGGGCACCTCTGGAGGTTGGACAGGTCTTGCCAAACAGGGATTGCAGGCGTATTGCTGCTTAGTCAAACTGACAACACTTAATGTCATGTGAACATCCAGGTAAGATGCATAATGGCAGCTAGCACCTCTCAGGGGTGAATGCTGCTCCTTTCCAAACCCAAATCAACAGAGAAGATGTCCCCTTGATCGAGCTGACCTGTTTCTGACTCCATTGGGGTTAATGTCCTGGCATTAAATGCAAGTGAACGATGCTGGGCTGGCCTGGCTGCAGGAGGAGGTTTCAGCTTGATCCCCAGGACTGATGCAGCCCATCCAAAGTGTCCAAGGGGGTTTGGCTGGGTGTGAGCAGGCTCAGCATTGAAATAGGTTGGCTTGCAATGGTTTCTGCAGCACCTGCTGGGACTGGAGGCTCTCTTCCTCATCTCTTCTCCTGAGAGCTGAAATCTCCCTGCATGTAAGACTTCCCAGGCTCGTGTAATCTTGGAGCCACAGGCCGGTCAGGGGAGCTCATGTACTGCAGACTTGCCTCTCAGAGCTCAGCCCACCAGCCTCTCAACCCAGAGAGGTCCTTGATACAGGGGCACTGAGAGCTCTTGGTATAACCAGGGCCTGCCCTGCCTCCCAGTCACTGACCTGAGCCATGTCGCAGAAGGTGTACACTAGCCTTGGAACCTGGGTGTTTTGGGTTGTGTCCCTGGTAGCTTTCTCCTACCCCCTCCATGGGCCCTTCAGGGATGGCCATCTTGGAGATTCGATAAGAAATGCAAAGTCTAGCACTTAGGACAGAACAACGCTGTCCACTGGTACAGGCTGGGGACAACCAGCTAAGCAGCAGCTCTACAGTGGACAATACAGTGGACAATAAGCTGAATGAGGCAACAGTGTGCTCTCGTTGCCAAGAAGGCTAACAGCATCCTGGGCTGCATTGGTAGGAGTGTTGCTAGTAGGTCAAGGGAAGTAATTATTCCCCTCCATTCAGCATTAGTGAGGCCACACCTGGAGTACTGTGTCCGGTTTTGGGCCCCACTGCAGAAAGGATGTGGACAAATTGCAGAGCATCCGGTGGAAGGCAGTGAAAATGGTTTGGGGGCTGGGGCACGTGTTTTATGAGCTGAGGGAACTGGGCTTATTTAGTCTGGAGAAGAGAAGACTGAGAGGGGACTTAATAGCAGCCTTCAGCTCCCTGCAGGGCGGTTCCAAAGAGGATGGAGCTGGACTGTTCTCAGTGGTGGCAGATGACAGAACAAGGAGCAATGGGCTCAAGTTGCAGCAGGGGAAGTTTAGGTTAGATATCAGGAAAAACTGTCTCACTAGGAGGGTAGTAAAACACTGGAACAGGGTACCCAGGGAGCAGGTGGAATCTCCATCCTTGCAGGTTTTTAAGATCTGGCTGGACAAAGCCCTGACTGGGATGATCTAGTTGGGGCTGGTCCTGCTTTGAGCAGGGGTTGGACTAGTTGACCTCCTGAGGTCTCTTCCAACCTTAATCTTTTATGAGCCTATGAAGGGACATGACTCATGGGGTAGCGTTAAGCTGTGTTCCCCACGCTGTTGACCCACATTTGCTTTGTGTTCCCCTTCCCTGGTCTCTGTCCCTCCCTCTGTTGCATCTCTGCCTTGTCTCAGCCCCTCCCTCCTTGGTTCTCTCGCTCCCTCCCTTTCTCTGCCTTGCCAGACTGACTGGTTTGGTGATGTCGCTTCAGCCTCGGAGAGCAACTCTGCACAGGGAGCCCACGCACCTGGGCTTGGGCGTGCCAGCCGGTGTGTCTGGCCTCTTGTGCGGGTCATAAAGAAAGCACTCCTTCCTTCTGCTCCAAGGCTCCTTCAGCACCACTTCTTGGTTTTGCACCCAGTGGCAGCCAGTGGCTTCCTAGTTTCTGGGGGTTGTTTTCTTTGCTCGTAGAGCCAGAGACTGTTCGCAGGGATGTCTCCTTCCCCCACAGATTTGTGCCCTCCATTTCTGGCCCAACGGGTCATGTTTCTCCCACTAAGTCATGCGTTTGGCCCAGTCCTCTGTGTCGGACGGGATCACCTTGTTGGTAGAGAGCCCAGCAGGGAGAAGTCTGAACCCCATTGATGGTGAGGGGCGGAGGGCGCGGACTGGGGTGTCTTCCTTTCGGTTCATGTTTAAAAACATAACGAGCAAAAGAAGTTAGAAGGTGGCCAGGTGAGAAACTATGGGAGAGAAACCTTGCTGATGCCAGGCTGTGGCATGCCTCTGCATCTGTCTCCACCTTGCATGGTTTGTCAAGGTGAGACATGGAGCCTACATTTCAGTTTCTGTAACTTTATTGTCATGACAAGACAGATGAGTGCTGTGTGAGTCAAGGGGGAGAGGGACTGTGATAAGAGGCTGCTGCTTGAGGTCAGGCCATATCTGTGTTGGCAGCTGTGTGTTGGGGGCCTTCGGAAACACGTTTTGATGGATCTCAGTCCAGTTTGCAGCAGCTCTGATAGACACCCCATAAAAACTCTTCTATTGGTATCAGTATTTCTCAGCAGTGTAGCCAAGAGTGGAATGGGCCATGTTCGTCCATGCCTTGACTTGTCCGTTAAGGTGTCCCTGCCATGCAGAAGCGGGACATGTTTATGGAGAGAAGAGGCTTAAAAACCCCAGTTCCAGTATCCCACAGCTGCCTGCTCCCTCCATCCCTACCTCTGTGCCATAGATTCTTGCATCCTATCAGCTGAATACAAGACAGGGCTTGGCCAGCGTTTGGATAAGAAACATTGCAGGAAAGCCCAGGATGCCACTGGGAAGGTGCAAGTGAGTGGTTCCCTGCCCCATGCTCCCATCTAGTATTGGAGTGTGATGCCTTGCTATTGAGATGCAGGATGGTAGTTTAAACCCCATCAGCCTGTCCTGTGCTTTTTCTGTTTCTCCTCTGGCGGTCACTGCCTTGGGTGGGTGCAAATAGATTGTCTCCTGTGTTGCTGCCCAAGTCATGTGACGTCACAATCCCACGTTTGTGACTTCAAACCCATTTCCCTGGGGATGGACCATCATGTCGCACACCCTGGATAATGATGCTGGAGGGTGAACTGGGGGGAGAAGCCAAGAGAGCAGAGGAAGACTCTGTCTTGTCTTGTACTTTAACCTCTGCTATTAGGCTTCGGGAAGTTCTGCTCCTAGCTCTAGCCCTGATTTTGTCTTGCTTTTCCCCTCCATAAAATAAGGCAAATGACTATCGTGCAGGAGTGTGCTGATCTCAGGGAACAGCAAAAGGCACTATAGAAGGGCCAACAGATGAGCTGCTGCATGTGGATCCTATTCTGGAAGGGAAACTGGTCACAGTCACTCTTGGTGCCAGCAGACATATCACAGACAACATGAACCAGGCGGTTTGCTTGAGAACCAACCCTAAGCTGAAGGGAAGCGCAGATGGCAGAGGCTACCAGACATCTCTCTTCAGGCTAGTCCCAGGAGGGGGTCCCAGAGCACCCACGAAATTCAGCCCCTTCATGGGGGGAGATGGCCACATGCTGCATGAATTTGCCCAGGACCCGCTTTAGCAAGCTCTCCCTAAGCTTTCACCCTTCTCTTAGCTACTCCGTCCTCCTGCAATCCCTGGTGTCTCCAGTTCTTCCCCTGTCTCCCGCCCTCCCCATCTCCAGGCTCCTTGCAGTAAGTCAAGATGTCTCCTCTGCCCTGCTCGGGATCACCCAAAGGCACCTCTGGCTGCATGGGCCTGCCTCTCAGCCCTGGTCCCCATCCATCCATCCATCCAGCCCGCCCAGCAGGGCCCCTGTAGCCCAGGGCCCTGGGGATGGAGGCAGAGGGAACTGGAGGATTCCAAAGCGGGTGCATTTTTTGGATTTCTCCAGGAATAGTTGAAGTGCCGCCGGGGAGCTTGGCCTGCGCTCAGCAAACCCAAGTGTGCAAACCGGTTTTTCCAGCCTCTCGGAGACATCTGGCAGCTGCTTAAAGAGACAGTGGCCCAGTTCTGCTTTCATTCTCCGCTCAAAAACTCCTTTCCCCTTTCTCTTCCCCTCTCTCTGTGCCCCCTTCCCCAGCCACCTCTGCCATCTGGGCAGTGTTTAGAACTGGAGGCAGAGCAGCAGGGTCCTCTCCCAGGGGGGTGAGTGCCATGGGAGGGGTATTTCAGTCAGTTTGGGCCTCCCACCTCCAACCCAGGCCAAAGGAAGGGGCTCAGTGGGACTGTGTCCTTTTGTGAGTTGGTTAAGGAGAGCCACTGCTTCCTTGCGGTGAATCCCTTCCCTAGTCAGTGGCTCTGGTTCCCCTCTCTTCCCCAGTAGGGTGCCTGCCTCTCTCGCATGAAAGTTGGATGTGTGAATGCACTGGGCA